TGTGTTTAAATTGAAAGTGGGTAGATTTAGATTAGATATCAGGAAGAAATTCTTCACAGAGAGGGTGGTGAGGCACTGGAACAGGTTGCCCAGAGATGTTGTGGATGCCCCATCCCTGGAAGTGTTCAAGGCCAGGCTGGATGAGGCTTGGAGCAACCTGGTCTAGTGGAAGGTGTCCCTGCCCATGGCAGGGGGGTTGGAACTAGATGGTCTTTAAGGACCCTTCCAACCCAAACCATTCTACGATTCTATGATTCTATGAGAATTGCCCGTGATTGTAGCATAATATTATCACAATAACTAACACTAAATCAAGGATTGGACGGTGGCATGTTTCACCAATTCTAAAAACCGCTAACTAAGATTTTTTTTGAGCTTAAAGATATCATGACACAGTGCTCCTCAGTTCCTATAATGTTCATGCACTCTTCACCACCTGGGAGCAGTATCTCTTCAAAGGTTCTCTGGCACTCATTTTATATATGTTACCATTTCAGTTATGACTTTATTTTGCAAGAAGCATTGCTGAAAATATGAGTAGTTCCATTCCCAAATGTGTAATATTTGTATTCAACCATTGCTCAGAGAAGATGGTGACCTTTGGTTTAAGTATATGAAGGAGTTAAGTGTAGGCAAGCAACTGCTTTTCAAGAGTCTGTTTATGAGTCAGATAATGGAACACGAAGTTGGTCTCTGATTGTACTGCAGTAATTTTACATGAGTACACTAGGCAGATACCGCAGCCTCCACCACAAGGATGAGACTTGCCCACAACTGCCTCCCATGCTGCTGCCACCAAAACTCCCATATTATTAGCATTGTCTTCCACACCTTCTCGTGGGCTCTGTGCACCCAGGTTTTAGCTTAGAGCCTCATGGTCGCAAGAGGGAGGGAGCTGGGATGTCAAGAGCATGTGTTCTGGATGCATCCCATGCCAAAAGAGAACCACTAAGTCCCTCCATTTGTGTGGGTGAATTACTACCCTGATTGTCAGTTCAAGCTGACATACCCTGGCTGTGTCACTGACTTCTGTGCTTGCTGGTATTGCTGTAATCCAGCTACTAAGTCACACCACCTGGGTCATTAGGACAGGTCTAACTGTCCTTACTTTGCGGTGCCAACATGTCCCAGGCTGTCTATCCTTATGCTTAACCACTATGCTTTGTTTTGCAGGAAAATACAGAGTATCTTCTTCAGAGCCATCCAGCTCTTCCTCTGAAAACACTTCCAAGTCATATTCTTTGCTTAACTGAGGCACCGCAATTGCTAAATCACGTAACTCAGAAAGGACCTCTGCTCTTCCCAAGAGACACACAAAAAGCACTTGTGACTCATCAAGAAGTGGACTGCTTCACTTTGACTGAACTGTGCCTCGGCTCATTCTTCTGGAATAATTGTTTCTGGTTAATGTGTAAGGCAGGGAAGCTTTGAGAGGTGGAATCCTACAGGGGCTGCCAATCCCAGAAGAAATGGCAAGATGTTTCAAACTTGGAAGTATTTGAAGGCCTTCAAGTGCCAGTAAAGCCATTGCGCGTGAAGAATTCTTTAAGAGGGTGCTTAGCACTATGCAATACTGAGCCATGAAATGCAGTGCTATATACAGCTGTTGTCCAGTGGTTTTCGTTTCTCCCCTATCAACTCTCTGAATGTTTTCAAAGGCCTGTGTAGATACACGAGTACCTCATAGCTTCTCTCTTGCCCTGTTATTAGAGTCTGGAAAGGCCATAGGGTAGAGTGCTCTCCATTTTCTGTTTAAGACTTTCTGGAACCAAAGATCCACAACCGAGAAGGTCTATTTTAGATCTTCACTTTTGACTTGGATAAAATTAACACCGAGATGATTCCTGCGTGGTCTTTTCAGATGGACCGTACCGAAAGCTCCATGTGGCACTTTTGTGAAGAAAAGGAAGCTTTATATCCTTAACTATAATTGTCCTTCCCTTGATATGTAATGTGGTAAGACAGAGATGGTTGCTGCCCTCTATCACAGGGGGGACTGCATTTATTTAATGCATAGTAGTGTTAAACATGCAGGGAGTCTCTTGTGTGAAGCCTCTGTTTGGGTCTCCTCTCAGAGGAGAATCACATTTGGAGGACTCAGAGAGTCAGCTCTGCAGTCAATATAAACCACCACGTGCCAGGCAGGATGAAAGGTTTTATATAAATTATTGCTGTAATACTACATTTGTGGAATCAGTTTTTTCCAAACCCGTAGACCTTTAAAGGCAGGACTCCTGACTTAAACAGAGGGCTATGAGAGAGCCTGCAAATTATTTCTAGCACACACAAATGTTGCAAAACTTAACATAAAATATGATAGAAGGAATCACGAAGATTTAGATTTAAGGCCAATATCAAATACTGCTGTCAGGTAGTACAGGCCCATTTGGCTGTTGCAGAATCAGGCCTACGGTTAACAGTGATGAAGCTGGTCCCAGGACTTTGGGATGAAGCAGAGCAGGAAACCTGCCTACAGTTACAGGCGTGTGTGACAGTTTGGTATGGGCAGGTGGCAATGACTGAAGACAATAAACAAGCATCAATCAAATGTATTATTTATATTGAAAGCAATCAATTTTTGCTTGAAGATATAGATACAATACTAGAACTAGAACACAGATATTAAGATATGTTTGAAAATCCAGAATGTCTTTGAACCGCGTGGCCACTGGTAACTTGAAAATCAGACCTTTGTACATAATTCCACACAAAATTTGCCTTGGGACAGCAATTTGGTCTAACTCATCCTGGAGGCAGTTTTTGCAATATTAACCTGCTGCAGAACCATCCACTCCCACCGAGTTAGAACGGACTTTAGAGGAACCGTAAAGTAGGAGTCCCTGTAGACCACATAGCCCCACCACACCTTATCTCTCAGACGTTTCTCCTTCGAGGTTTCACCACACCAGTTTAGCTGTAGAGAGTGATAAGGTCTCCTCTGAGCCTCCTCTTCTCCAGGCTGAACCCCCCCAGCCGCTCCTCACGGGACTTGAGCTCCAGACCCTTCCCCAGCTCCGTTACCTACCAACCAACAGCACTCCTGAGCTAAACTTCCCTGAGGCTTTTGGTCCTCAGGAGCTAACAGGATTCAGTGTCACTGGGAAGATGTGGGGCTGGCAGGCCGATTCACACAGGGACCGTATAATTTCTTGAGTACTTTCCTCTTAGAAAATTAAGGTAAAGCCTACGATACAATCAACACAAAATCTAGCGTAATTTCTTCTAATTTACACCCTTTCCATATACTTTTTAGCTTTTTCCCTTTTTAAACCTCCCACAGCCTCTTCTTGGGTCACCCCTCCCTTTCTGCCCTCTTTGCGGGGTAACGAACGGTGCGCATCTCAGCACGTCAGGTTTTATGCCGGGCAGCAAAGACTTTCCCTCCCACCCACGCCGACGCCTCTGTGGTGTCGCTGAGCCCCCCGGTGTCTGCTGACCCACAGAGCCCACAGCCGCGACCCCCACGGGGCGACTGTGGCTGCCCATGCGCACGAGGCTGCTCGGCCTGGTCCCCCACCTCACTTCGTTACCGCGGCAACGGCACCGCCCTCCCCTCAGGGCCGGACTCACCCTCAGGGTGTCCCTGCGCGTGGCCGGGGGGTTGGGACTGGATGATCTTTAAGGTCCTTTCCAAACCGTTCCGTGATTGTATGATTCGCTAATTAAACAGGGCAGCGAAAGACTTGCCACCTGGCAGAGGCAATCCCTCAAAGCTCAGGAGCGGGTCCTGGTTGCCCCTAGACCAGCACTGCTGCGGCATGGCCAAGGCCACTTAGCCTACACTGTCCCCAAGGCCTGGTGAGCCACCATGGCACAGACGGAGTCTGTCCACACCCCTCCCTGCATCAGTGATGGCCAGCCAGCCCGGCAGTGAAAGCCCCTGTTTTAAATGCGGGTGTGCAGCATCCAGCCACACTGGGAAGGACGCAGTGTCTTTTTAATAAAAAACATACATTCATGAGAACTGTCTCGTTCCTGTCCCAGCCTTGGGTGAGGGAAAAACACACCGTGATGCTCTGAAGTGTTAGAAAGAGGTTCCTTTTCTTACACCAGCAGAAGATCAGGCGTTGGTGGGGTGGGACAGAGATATGTGGGGTTGTTTGTGAGCACCCAGGTCATTTGGATGAAGTCTGAAATGCCCCAGCAATCACAGCAGAAATGTTTTCTACCCTTCTACCCCATGGAGCCTGGGCTACAGATCTTGTTTTGCCATGGCTGAGCAAGTGAATGAGGCAGGTTCACAGCCTTCAATGATGTCACTGCTGATTAGAAAACCCACAAGAGGTAGGGCAAGCACCTTGCTTGAGACACCTTGCTGTGACAGCTCTCCCTAGAGGACCAGCAGATCCCAGCAAGGCCCTGATGTCCTGGACATGGACTGGACAGGGGTTATCTCTTTCCTGGAGGAAAGCAGCTTCATTCCCTTCTCTGGGAGCTGGGGACAGACCTCTATTCCCAGGTTTCATCAGGGAGCCAAAACATCAAGCAGAGCCAAATTGCACCAAATATCCCCTGCTGTGACATCCTCTGTGACTGGACACCATCACAAGTTCCTCTAGCAGAGAGGAGTCAGCGTGTGGTTTGGCAGGGGTGAAGACATGGCCTCTGTCTACAAAGTGAAGCGAACAGTGTCAGAGCCTGCGCATGTTTCTGGAGTGAGTGATGACAACTTGCAGTCCTATTCTGCTGTTCCTTTGCCCTAGTTCTGCCAGTTATTTAAGTTTGAACTGTGGTTGAGAGCAATGCATGGACTCTCAGCACTACCACTTCTTACTGGATGGAAAACCAAAACATTTGAAAAATACATGAGCAAGGCAGTGTACAAATTTTCATTAGACAGCAGTTCTACATGATGTTCTTTAACTGCCAGATCCTAGAGGCGTAAACAGACTGCTGCCAAGTTGTTGATAGAGCACTTCATCCATATGCTGGCTGGTCTTCCACAAGTAGTATTCATCATTGTTCACTGGAAACTGATGTCTTACGAACTATGGAAAAATACCAGGCCGAGATTTATTGCCCTGCAGCTCTTCATCTTCTAGCCATCATGGAAATGAGGACAATGGTTAAGACAATGGTTCCAGCAATTCCACCAATTGTCATTCCCAGGATGTTCCCATGGACCTGCATTGACTGACACCTCTCACCAGTAAAGAAGAAGGCTTGTCCTGATGGGCACCTGGGAAAATAAAGTACAGATTCTCATGGATCAGGAGTTTTTTCCTGCCCTATAGGCCTACCTCAGGGTCCTCACCACTCACTATCCTGGATGACTCGCATTAGAAGGGTTCACATCACAACATCCCCACCTAGTTTGGAAGCTATTTATGTCACCTGGAAGCATACAGAAGGGTGTTTCTTTGCCTCCCATTATGGCTGCTGGTGGAAACCAGTCATTGCAGCAAAGTGTTTTGCTCCTACTGTTCCTTGAGGACCTCTGAGGTCTGTAGTTCTGAATACTTATTAGCTGCATCATTTAGTTCAGAAGAAAGGCAAGGGAAGCAGGGAAGAGGTCTGTGGTACCTGCAGCTTGCTTTCCCTTTCACATTCACACAGACTCCATCATTCTGGCAAGGGTTTGGGTCACACGGGTCTTGCAGATAAGGCAGCCAGTCTTGAACAGGCTCCATATCCTGGGCTGCTCTCTTCTGCCTTTCAAGAATGAGGCCTTCCATGAAGGCAGGTTGTTGAGGTTCAACAGGGACTTCGGTGTTACTGAGGTGACTTAGATCTTTTAAAAAAGGAAAGAGAGGAGAAAGACATCAGGTAACAGTGAGTGATGTTATCTGCAGTATTCTTCATGGGAGAGGCTCACAGGGTGCTTTGTGGAGTGCAGGTTACTCCTTGTCCATTTGCCCTTTACACAGCTCTTGCCATACCACAGCATGTTCTGCATATTTAAAACACGAGACAGAAAATCATACTGAAATTATGGTAACTAGTTAGGTAAATCAGTGTTATTCTGTCCTTTGAAAAAAATTATGCCAAGTGTGTCTGTTTTAAAAACACAATGAGGAAGGCCTTTTAGTATGTTCAGTGCTTAGAAATGGACATAGCTACTGGTTAGGGTGCTTAAAGGTGTCTAAGAAGTTAACCTTCAGTAAATCATTGTGAAATAGATTCCTGTGAACTCACAAGCACTTTAGCCAACATCACCCACCTGAAACTAAGACACAGAAATGCTTTTAAAAGTTGATCCCCACTAGAAGCGAAGATGACTCAGAGACAGGTGGCAATGGTGACTTGAATGTATGAAAAGAGATAGAAAGAATCACCCATTTGTTTTCTTAGAGCGTCTTTACCGTGAAATTCTGCAAAAATAATCAGGTCATCATTTTTCAGGAAGCTTCTCCGTCTCATCTGGCTGTGGGATATGAAGTTAGTCCACCCCCAATCTACAGTTCTGTAGCAATTGCACGAGGCATCAAATTTCCCAGCAATTGACGGTTTCTCCCATATTAAGGTTGTGTTAGATTCTGTAAAGAGAATATGAGTCACAAATAAGAACCACAGAGTTTTGCAGCTGGAAGCATGACATGACTTTTTTTTGTGCATTGCAGTGTTAAATGGGATTTATGCTGTAAAATCAAGTTTAGAGCTGAAATGCCCAAGTAAATCACAGAGGACTGATAAATCCTCCGAGGGAGGGGATTTTCTCCCTCTACTCTGCTTTTGTGAGACCCCACCTGGAATTCTGCATCCAGCTCTGGACCCCTCGACATCTGAAGGATATAGACTGGTTGGAGTAAGTCCAGAGGAGGCCACGAAGATGATCAGAGGGCTGGAGCCCCTCTGCTATGGGGACAGGCTGAGAGAGTTGGGCTTGTTCAGCCTGGAGAAGAGAAGGCTCTGGGGAGATCTTATTACAGCTTTCCAGTACCTGAAGGGGCTACAAGGAAGCTGGGGGGGGCTTTTTACAAGGGCCTGTAGTGACAGGACAAGGGGTAAAAGGATTAAATTGAAAGTGGGGAGGTTTAGATTGGATATCAGGAAGAAGTTCTTCACGGAGAGGGTGGAGAGGCACTGGAACAGGTTGCCCAGAGAAGCTGTGGATGTCCCATCCCTGGATGTCTTCAAGGCCAGGCTGGATGCGGCTTGGAGCAACCTGGTCTAGTGGAAGGTGTCCCTGCCCATGGCAGGGAGGTTGGAACTAGATGGGCTTTAAGGTCCCTTCCAACCCAAACCATTCTATGAAATTACGGGTGCCAGCAGATCCTTCGATACAGTCTGCATCAGGACCCTTAGTCTGTGTGAGGGCATTGAAATTCCACAACTCGTCCTTCATTGAGGACTAACCAAATGCAAGTTACCGCCTCATTGTCCCCAGCTAACAACTCTCTCCTGCCTAAGGACTCCCTCATTAGTTTTTAAGTACCTATGGTTTACTGACTAGCAGATTTTGTTCATTGCTATGGTTCTGTTAAACATATTCATAGCTGAAGTTTAATACTTCTACTGAAAAAGTGTGTACTACCACTGGAAAAAGTGAAGAGGGATGGAGATTCATCCCTAGTATTTCATTCTGTACCAAACTCAATGTTGTCCTGTTGTTCTTATTTCTTTGAATTGCCACATCCATGGGGAATCTTGGGGGTGGATGTGGAACAATGGTGCTATATAAACCTAGAGTTAAAAAGTAGCCCCTCTCTGAGAGAGTTTGTAGCCTGCAGTCTACGCCCAACCCAGCAAGTCAGCCTGCAATTGCTGCAGACTGATCTCACAAGTGTTTTCAGGTATTTTTTTCCTAAACACAGCTACAGTGTGAACCCTGTGCATTCAGAACTTTTATGTTCAGGTTAATGAAGCCTACAAATGCAGCTTTAACTTAAGTTATTGTTAATTTAGTAATGGAATACATCACCCTGCTGGCGTTTCACCATCCTGTGGTGTTACGTCACCTATCATAACGGTAAAAACCACAGGGAGAATTGGAATTTCCAGCTCTTAGGAGGACTGTGTATTTAGAGTCGAACTCAGATACCCCAGGCATTGTTCATAATAACACCAACCTTGTGCGCGTCACTTTTCACATTAGATGATCTTTTACAGACAGGAATTCTGAGTCATTCTGACTCATCACGGTTTAACCCCAGTCAGTAGCTAAGCACCACACAGCCACTCGCTCATGTCTCGCTCCGCACAGTCATACGCAGAGCATTGGTCCCAAATTGGGAAATGCAAGCCACAGCTGCCCAGCTCTGAGTCCTACACCCAGTCCTCTGACTCGTATTCCTTGGCTTTTATTTTCCTCATTCCTGCAGGCAGACACCACTCACCAGAGCTGATGTGGTCTTTGCTTGTGGTGAAGCTTTTGCTTGAGGACATCCTTTTCAAGACATCAGGGTCCTGGTCGAGCACTGTGAGTATAGCTTGGCGGTTCAGAGCTGGCCACTCCAGGACAGCATCGTTCTCTCCACTACACAAGTGAAAGGCAATGCGAGTGTAGCCACTGATTCTGGAGTGGGGATACAAACTTACGCCAAAACCGTAACCCTCAGGGCTATAAAACCGGGGACTTTGAATGACATCACTTGATGTGTTTTCAAGGATTTGGCTGAAATTCCGAATGACCCACACAGCTGTGGGACAGGGGGTCTCTGTCAGTGTAACGTCATCGATAGCAATCCCACCAGATGAAGAGCTGGGATTGCCCTTTAGTCCTTGGAAGAGGTAGCGGAACTTCTTCTGAGCACTGAGGGTTACATGGGCAATTTTCCAGTTATAGTCAGTGTCCGCTTTGGTGAAAGGAAAGCAAAACATTGCCATCAGTATGATTAGTAGTATTATGAAGCAGTTTATTCCTAGCCATCCATTCCAAATGCATTTTTAGATAACTGGACCTCTTACAAGGTCCTGAACACTGAAGAACTTAAGTTGATGTTGTGATTATATTATCCCCACATTGTCTTACCACCTAAATGCTTTGGACACATTCTATGAGGAACTCTTCACCCATCAGTGAATGGCCATCTCTAGTAGAGAGGGCAACGGGCTAAATGCCAAGACTTAACAAGTGGGTGGGAGTCAATGACCCAACAAGTTAACGTTTGCTGCCACTTTCCCAGGGACTTCTCTGTCCCTGCAAACTGCTTCAGCTTGATATAGGCAGGTTGTCATAGGTCTTGGGTTTTGACAATATAAACGCATAGAACAACAGTGGTTGAATTTGTCCTATTTAGCAAAATCACACAAAATGGGAAGTTATTTCACATTTTCAAAATTGCATATGTTTTTATGTTTCCAACCATATAAAAACCAGGCTGGGATTCTTACAGACTGCGGGTGAGCACAGGTTATTTACTACTGAACAGATCACTCTTACATCGTGTAACAGCCAGTGGAGATCTACTCAATTGATCTCCAGCAGAGTTTGGGGTCCTTCTGTCACCGAGCATAACATCACACTGTTATGAACATTGTCACTTCTGCTGAGAGCACCTAAATTACATTAACACAACCCACAGTTTCACTGTTAAAGGCACTCACCTAACACCAAAATTCTTAGCTGAATTGCAAGACATTCTGGTAGCTTCGGGAAGATCTTTTGCTTTCTGAGCCAACCCACTGCATTCATAGACTCAGTAAAAGAACTTTTCCTCCCCCATTATTATATATATTCCTCATATTTCCAGAATTACCTTGAAATGTTTGGATTTTCCTCATCTTGCGAACATTTCCAGTGCCATCATCCTCTTTAAGCCAGATGATCAGCTTGTCTGAAAGACTCCCTGTGATCTTGTAGAAGAACTGGAGGCACTGCTGAGTTCTCTTCGGATAAAGGATTCGAGACTCTAGGACTGCCACCTCATCTGCTTTGCCAGAGCTGGTGTTGAAGTACATGAAATAGCCAGCATCTGTGAAGAAAGTGTAGAGTGTCACTGTCTCTTCCCAGATTTCCAGCTAGCTGCATGGTGTAAATTTATTATTTTGACTCCACTCTTTTAGTAGGTATAACTGTAGTACTTCACATGAATAGTACAGGAAACAGTATATGATAACCATCCAAGATAGACCAGGATAAGAGCAGGACTAGTAGTTTAGCCTATACATGGAACTCACTGCTGTCAGCTTATGCCTCAGTGCTGGCAGAAGTATGAGATTCAGTGCTGACTGCAAGTGAGAAATAAACATATTTTTTACTTGATTTATGCTGAAGATAATCTAAAGATGTAATCTTACAGATCATATGCTCTATTACATTGTAAAGCGTAAGAATTTCTTATCAGTGATAAAGATAATAAAAAAGAGTTGGACACAGAACAAACACTCCCCTGACCTTGAACATGAAGAAGTTCCTTTTACAGCTTGTCCAAAGACTTTTCAAAACTCAGCTTTTCAGTTTGGGGAAATCAGTTAAGAATTCCTGCCCCTCTAGTTTAATTCCCCACTAACATTTTTTGAAGTCTTCTTTACATTAGATTGGAAATGTCTACTTTTATTCTAATATCTACAAGGGATTCACCATTTGCACACCATTTATGTCTTGGTATCACATGGACTTGTCACGACTTATCTGCATTGCATTGCTCTAGTAATTAATTATAGCCCATGATTAAATTAACAAGTGAATTCTTTTTAACTATTGTGTGAATGCTTCCCCTGTTGGGGGCAGCCTGCAACTGTGTCTGGGGCTGACTCCACCCTTTTTGAGATTTTCTTCTTTGGAAAAATGGCAAAATTACCATGTGAAAAAGAAAATTATCCCTAAACTCCTAACATAAAATACTTTGCAACTTCACCTCCAGAACTGGCGCTCCTCAAGCTTAATTTATCACTCGCTTTGCAAACACAACATTTATGAGTGGCTACGAGTGATGTTTCTTTCTTATCTTGGGGTAAAGTAACTCTTACTCAGACTTTGGAAGTTGCAGTAAATCCTTTTCCAGGTTATATTTAAAAGGCCTCTTGTTAAAATTGTTCTTTGTCCCCTTTTATCTTGCTGGTGGGGAGAACATTCCACTATGTTGAAAAAGCTTAATGAGAGCACAAATGCAACCATAAACTCACACTCACAGGGCCAAGACACGTGAAAAGAAAAAGGGCTTTTAGCTTAACTAGAAACATTACAACTTGGATTAGTGCCTTAAACATGGTCTTTTAATCCTGTGTTTTCAGAGTAGCCAGTGCTGGGTTTTCTCAAGGGTTGACTACAATGGCAGGTTCAGAGAAGATGTAAAGACCCTGTAGGTAGAGCACACAGACCAATACAGACATGCACAAGGGACAATTACACCATCTAACCCCTTTTTCATCGGAAAATATCCTGTTACTTCGTTTTACCTCTACAGCGCCCAGACAGCGTGTGGTCTTCCTGCCCTGTAGCACTGCCCTGTTGATGGACCCAGTCTAGATCATCCCTGGTGCCCTGGATCATGCCACAGATATTTTCAAGCTCAAAAGAACACCGGTCCAAAAAAGTGTGAGTTGAAACTGAAAAAAAATGCGCATATGGTTACCTCCAAAGTAGTATCTCATTTAGTACAAAGTGTCAGCTCTAATTTTGAGGGGTTTTGTTTTCACTAGTACAGGCACAATGTAGAGCAGACTTTAACCCACAGCAGATGTGCACCCAAAGACTCAAAAAGAGGAAGTTTGATTCCTGGAGGGATCCTCTACCTAAAGGTCCCAACATTTGACCACCTTGCAGAAGGCTGACAGACTCCCAGGCCGCAGCTGAAGCACACTGGCTGGTGGTGACTCTGTGTCTGCTTGTAAGCACGTGAGAGACAAGTCACCTTGGGAACAGTGGAGGTCATGCATTTAACCATTCCTCTACTGAAGGTTATTGTTCTCCATGGCTCACTTCTCTGCTTGATGAGCATGAGCACCGTTTAATCGCAAAGTCCACCCAGTTACCTCAGGTCAGTTCAGCTGAGTTTGCCTGTAAGTCGATGCTTTTGTTGGCAGATCCATGGGGACAATAAGTTCTTGCTAACAATCACACACGGTGATAACATCTTCAACCAGCTTAGCAACCAACTGGGCAGTGTCAGACTCTAGACTTAGCCAATCTCAGGTGCAAAAATAGATTAACTAAGACCAAATGTCAGTATTGGAGCCCTCAATATCAGAAGGATATTGACCACTTGGAGCGAGTCCAGAGGAGGGCCACGAAGATGATCAGAGGGCTGGAGCACCTCTCCTATGATGAAGGCTGCAAGAATTGGGCTTGTTCAGCCTGGAGAAGAGGAGGCTCCGAGGAGACCTCATTGCCGCTTTCCAGTATCTGAAGGGGGCCTACAAGGGTGCTGGGAGAGGACTTTTTACAAGAGCCTGTAGTGATAGGACAAGGGGTAATGGGTACAAATTGAAATCAGGGAGGTTTAGATTAGATATCAGGAAGAAATTCTTCACAGAGAGGGTGGTGAGGCACTGGAACAGGTTGCCGAGAGATGTTGTGGATGCCCCATCCCTGGAAGTGTTCAAGCCCAGGCTGGATGAGGCTTGGAGCAACCTGGTCTAGTGGAAGGGGTCCCTGCCCATGGCAGGGGGGGTGGAACTAGATGATCTTTAAGGGCCCTTCCCACCCAAACCATTCTGTGATTCTATGATTCTATAAAAGAGGACAAAGTACAGTGGCAGTCACCTCACAAAAGCCCAGTGAAGCTGCCCACACACCAGCAGAACACAACCACATGTCTGAACTCCTGGGAGCAACATGGAAGTAAAGATGTGAATGAAATTATTTTCATTGACTAATTGACCTTAACGAAAGTACTGACAGTAACAGAACCAAAAGGAGGGATGAGGAGGGAATAAACAGTTTGGGTCTCCACACCACAGGTCCTCTCCCATACCACCTCAAGAGCACCTGAGAAGAGTTTCTGTGGGTTTAGAGACATAAGGGAGTTAAACCAGCCAGGATACTATGGTTAAATTATGACTTACTGCAGTTATACATGCGATTCAGTCTTTCCAGGTCAATGGCGCTGAGGTCTAGGCGTTGTCCAATGATGTTATCAAATTCTGGTATCTTCGCTGTGATTGTGGGGATGCTTTCATTTTTGTTAAATGAAAATGGCTGATAGTGCATCACTGATTCATAGTCATAGGGAGTGTTCAGGTCAGTGATGTAGCTATCGTCGTACTTCAGAAAGTTATGTTCTTTGCCTGGTAAAAGGACAGAAAAGTGCGTAAGTTTTAGAGCAATTGGAAAGGAAATGGCTTTAGCATTGCCCCTAGGATACAGTTTTCTGAAGCAGAATTGATGCACCCAAAAGAAAGTACTTTATGATAAAATATTCAAATTTAGCAAGATTTGTTTATGAAGTAATTTGGACAACAAAGCAGTGTCTTTAGATTGCATTTCTGTGCCCTCACATGTGACTTCAGTAAGTTCAAAATCAAATATCAATGAGCTGTAAAGTATGGGATATATAGGAAGTCAGATTAGATAGTCTAATAGTAATTCACATTGCAGAGCCTGTGAATATCGACGCAATTGTTTCCCAGGATATTAGATCATATATGGGCAAGGAGAGCCCCTGGAGCCCTCCACTCATTAAGGGGACAGTTATGACAGTCCTGGCGTGGCTCCAGGATCTGTTTTTCTTTGAAGCAAAGACTACAGTAGGAATCTGAGGAGCAAAAATATGGTTTTACCCTACATTGACAATATTGCTATGGTATTACTATTGCAATGTCTTTTGGAAACATGTTTCACATGGTTTGTTAGAGAAAGTTTTTCATTACGAAAGTGTCTGCTAGGGCAGAGGGGAAGCAGTTTCACATACATTGGTATGGAAGTAAAGAGAGATTGCCAGAATTTCCAGCTACAAATATTTTCAGAATATTTGGCCTTCTCTCTTCAAGAAGAAACAGCACATGACTGCACTTGGTGGATAATCACAGCTTCTCTGTGTAAAGGCTGCCCTTCCCTTCTGCAAGTTCATTCTGGGCACAAAGGTCTTCAGTCCAAGGCCTGAGATTGTATAAAATCTTGGGATTGTTTTCTTAGATACTTGAATTTCACCTTTTATCAAAAAAGGGTGAGGATCTTGCTAATTAAATGCTACAACTTTTTATAGCTGGGGACAAAATTTTGGCACTACACAGGCATGTGTAATGATGCTGTTTTTTAAGACCAATACCAGGAAAAGAATAATTTTTGTTTTTAAAACAATCAAACTATACATGGCTATTTCATTAGGCTGCCTTGTGTGTTTTCTCTGAAGTATAATGGGCTCCTTAGTGTTTCTGCCAGCAGCAACATGAATAGGGGATCTCTTTGCTCACGAGCCAGTTACCTGTATTGCAGTTTATGAAAATGCATTATGGCAAAAACTGTTACCATGCTATTAAATTTGGGATGGCAGATCACTAATATGGGAATGACACAAAGTCATTGCATTCACAGAGAGCACAATCATGTCAGCCTTGCTTCCCTTTAGAGAAGCAGACATTTCAAATCGCTTTGGTTGAAGTTTTCTACTTAATGACCCGATGCTTATAAATATCTGAAAGGGTGGGTGCCAGGAGGATAGGGCCAGGCTCTTCTCAGTGGTGTCCAGTGACAGGACTAGGGGCAATGGCCATAAACTGGAAACAGAAGGTTCTACCTGAACATGAGGAAACCCTTCTTCCCTGTGAGGGTGACAGAGCCCTGGAACAGGCTGCCCAGAGAGGTGGTGGAGTCTCCTTCCCTGGAGACTTTCCAGAGCTGCCTGGACTTGTTCCTGTGTGATCTACTCTAGGTGATCCTGCTCTGGCAGGGTGTTGGACTAGGTGATCTCTAGAGGTCCCTTCCACTCTGTGAATCTGTCAACACGACATGTTATAGGATGGATAGAAATGTACGGAATATAGGAATTGACAGTAATGATATCAGACCAGCTCCAGGACTCCATTCAGAATAGTGTCGCACTGAAGTCCATCATCTCTATCATTTTTTTGGTGTTCCAGATTTTTGGCGACTGAATACAACAGGTAATTTGAGAGGAATCAATCACATCTTTTTGGAGGGGGGGTGGAGATGGGGTCAGTAAGCACAGAGAATTGACACTCTTATATCAAGTTTTTCCATACCTCTGTACTTCATGGGGCTCATAATTATAACTACATTATAACTACACAGTAAGTCTTCTTGATTTGGAGGTGATTAGTTACAGTTAGTTACAGTGCATAGCAAAAAGGGCCCCAAAACTCAGAGCCTAGATACTATTATCATCATCATCTTCATTACCATGATTCAAGATAAGACCAAGTTAGTAATAAGATGAATTGGTTTTAGTGCTGTTCCTAACAATAAATATAATGATCGGCAAAATCAATATCCACATCCCATCTACTGCTCAGCCACCCCAGAGGATGCTGCAATTACAGGGTGAAGGCCATTCAGCTTGGAGCAATTCAAAATATCAGGCACTGCTGTTAGAGGTCAGCAGAAATTGCTTGTACCAGCAGTTCTTATCTACCCAAAAGAGAACACATCATTCCCTGAATCTTGTTCCTTTCTGAGGACTATTTCTGCATGCATTTTTCACTTATTTGGTGAGTGCATAACCTTGGAGACTGATGTGATCAGTTTGTACACACGGAGCATGAGCAATGCCAGGGCCCCTTTACTGCGCTGGCACCATCACTGGCATCACAAAGCACCAGCGCTGGGAACAAGAGTTTAGTCTTTGCTAGCATGCCTTTCAGAACTTGTGAGAGACTCCCATTCACTTTTCTTCAACTATATAATCATTAAGTAGTATGGAACTAGAACTGGCAGGAGAAACTGTCTAGGGACCAGGGGAACTGTAGAGAGTTTGCTGAAACTCAGAAAGCCATTGCATCTGGTGAAACTAAACATGAAGGCAAGAACCCAAGAACCTGCAGAGACACACTAGAGAGGGGAGAGCAGGGGAGAGCCCTGTTTCATGTGTCCTGTCTGATTTAATCACTTGGAAACTTTCTTTATGTACTAAGTAAACCTTTTGAGTTCCAGGAAAGCCTGAATCTCTGAGGATAAAAACATTTCAGGTTTTGAGAGGATCTTTCATTAAAGAAAAAACACCCCAATGTTGAGGAGAAGTTGGTATCCCAACACACTATCCCAGTAAGTTTACAATTTGCAGCAAGAAACAGCATCTTAGAGAGGGGAGGTGATTTGTTAAAAATCAGAGAGCAGACCAGTCCTGGGGCCAAAGGGAAATAACATCTTCTGACCTCCAAGCAGGGTCTCTCGCTCCTGACCTTAGACAGTCTCTGGTCTTTGACCAGAGAAGTTGTATCAAAATGCCACTGCATCTACAGGTTGATTTACAGTTGTCTCAGGTGTGTACAGGTGTTTCTAAAATCATATTTTTAAGAAGGTCTTAAAATCTAAGAGGCAAAATAAGATACTGATGAGTCTGCACTTCAAAAAATCTGACTTGAAGGTCAAAACCCACCTGTAATAATCTCATCCCACCAGATGGTCACATAGTCATCCCGGTCCATCCTTGACTGCTCATGGTAGAATCCCAGAGCATGCAGGATCTCATGTTCCACAATTGCTCTGTAGTCACACCCTGCCCCAATGGAGAGGTTCTGTCCAGTCTGCAGGTCCCCCACCATGGACCAACACCTGAGAAAGAGAGAGTCTTACTATCTGTTAAGGAGTTTTCTTCTCTGTATTTAAGTTCTCATTCTGCTTACTGGATTTAAAGTAGTATCAAAACAGGTCTTTGCTACCATAAAAGAAGTAGCATAAATCATTATATAGGTGTTGACCAAGTGCCTTGATACTCCACAGATACTCCGCCCTGAAAGCAGACTCAGCCCCCAAAACACACTCATTATCATGTGCATGAGGCCAGCTCTTCACCTGTCCTCTGTGTTAGAGAAGCTCACCTGTGATTTTTGAGATCCACAGAAGTTTAGTCCCATATCAGCTGTCATTTAACAATAAATGTGCCAAGAAACATAATACACACAGAAACAGTAAACTTGCCAAGTCAAGCTGAGCTTTTGTGCAATCACGTGGGCTAGAGAAAAAATCCAGGAGGATTTAGAACAGCAGCATTTGATCCTTTACAACAGCAACTGGGCAATGCATTGGCCATAGGTGTGAAATTAGATTTTTCTGTGAGAACCCAGCCCCTCATCTGTGACTCAGCAGAAGTTAATCATGACTGAGGTGGAAAGGAACTCCTCAGTTAATTCACTGGGAACATTTTTGGGGTAGCCTGAGGGTGATGCAAGAGGCAACTGCTACAGAGCACCTGCTTGGACTGTAGCTTCCTTTGCACATCACAAATCAGTGTCGGGTCAAGTCTGTTGAAGGAGCTCTGAACACACTAATGTGGATACTGAAAACAAAGAGCTTGAGCCTATGGCTTGAACAGCTGCTGCCAGGGAGTTTCCAGTACCAGGCTCTTCAGCACCAACTTGTCAAAAATCATGGTGCTTGCAGTCTTGTAAGAGACGTGTCATAGGACGTATTACCCAAGGAAGAGCTGAGGGCAGAAATACCAGTGCCTATAGGCCTTTATAAAGTTCTGAGAGAAGAAGAAATATCCACAGCTGATATAGTGAGAAGATTTTTCTGCTTTTCTAGATTTTCTCTCAAAACATGTTTAGACATAGGAAATAAAATAAAATAAAATAAA